GTGCCTTACATCCCACTCGACCTTTACTGCCTTGGATTGATTCTACCCACGACACTTTTAAGTGCCTTACATCCCACTCGACCTTTACTGCCTTGTACTGATTCTACCCACGACACTTCTAAATGCCTTTCACCCCACTTGACTCTTACTGTCTTGGATTGATTCTACCCACGACACTTTTAAGTGCCTTACATCCCACTCGACCCTCACACTCTTGTATTGATTCTACCTACGTCGTTTCAAATGCCTTACACCCCACTTGACTCTTACTGTCTTGGATTGATTCTACCCACGACACTATTAAGTGCCTTACATCCCACTTGACCTCACTGTCTTGTACTGATTCTACCTACGTCGTTTCAAATACCTTACATTATACTCGGCTATCACTGTCTTGGGCTAATTCTACTCAAGTCGTTTCATAGTATCTAATATTCCAGTCGACCGTTACTGTCTTGGAATAATTCTATCTTTGTCATTTCAAAGTGTCTTGCATCCCACTTAACCTTTACTCTTTTGGACTAATCCCACCGATGTCATTTCAATATTTCTTGCATCCAACTCGACCTTTACTGTCTTGGACTGTTTCTACCAACGTCGTTTCACAGTGTGTTGAATCCCAAGTATACTTGAGTGTGATCTCTTGAAGCCTTAATACAATTGACAATTCAGGTTGGTAATTCCGTATCTCATTATATTTTTGAGTTATTACATAACCTAGAAACCAACAAATGAATGTCTCAGTAAATGAGAACCATATCATTAAATGGTACAATTGACAGAAACCTTACATTTTAAACGGTCCAAAAGGCAGAAATATCGATATTCAAATGATCCATTGATTAGAAACTTTGGTCTTTAAATAGTTCAGTTGGCAGAAACCTTGGTCTTTAAATAGTTCAGTTGGCAGTAACATTGACATTTAAATAGTTCAATTGGCAGAAATATTGACATTTAAATAGTTCAATTGGCAGAAACATTGATATTTAAACGGCCCAATGTACCTAAACCTTGGTCTTTAGATAGTTCAATGGGGAAAAATGATTGACATTTAAAAATGATCTAACAGACCTAAAAATTTTGCATTTTTAAGATATTTCATGGACAACCCTTGCACTCATTTTGGTGTTTTTTTTTTATAATTTGATGCAACATGAGTGAAGTACATACATCTAAGAAACTAACACTGTTTACAGTTTTGAATACAAACAACTTAAACAACAATAGATTAAAATAAATCCGCACACTTAATGGAACAAGAGGACACCTCTTTTTGATACAATGAAACTCACGTCAAGTGTCTAACTGCACGTATACACTTGCAACCAGGCAAGTACGAACAGTAACGGGTAATAATACAATACAGTTTTAGCAGGAGCAACATTTGCCAAATTGCTGTCCCCTATTTTTTAACTCTGCCGAATTGTTATCGCACTCCTATGAGAAGTACTTTGAATTGTCGTTACTCTTCTTTGTATCACGTCTGTTGATTTAGGTTCTGCCAGTGAAAACTGCGATTGATTGAATTTCGGAAATACGTCCAGCGCATGGTTGAAACCCTGGGTATATAGAGTAGTGTAGACTAGGCGTATAGCTGTGGCTCTCATACTGTGTCTCAGACATGCTAATCCCGCTCTAGAAAGGCCCATCTGTGATAGTGACGATTATGACTACGATCTTGGTGCTTCTTTCTCGTGTAGTCCTCTGGACGTTTCGGACACTTTCCACTGGTGGCATCATAAGGTCCATATTCACAATCTGGTATGTGACAATATCCCGCCAATACACACCTAAGGGGAGCAGACACATTAAAAGGTGATTTTAGAACACACGTATTAAAATAAACTTAACATGCTGGTTATTGACAACAACCAGCCTGCTTGAAAGTCACAGTCAGTTCTTTTTTTTTTCCCCATCATCTAACCTCCACTCTTCGTGGCAAGGAAGACTTCCTTGGAGCTATTCTCGTATCTATTGCTAATTTATGCTTGTCTTATTCTAGACATTTGACTAAGTTCTATAAATATCTTATTTTAATATCACCTGTAAAGTAAATGAATCAGACAAATTCGCACTAAATGAATTAGACTGTCTAGTAAAATAGTTGTCCAACTTAAGTAAAAGTTAAGAGAAAATCAAATGTAAACATACATGAACTAAGTAAAGTAACCGTTGAAGTGATTACACCATACGGAGATCCTGAAATAATATACAAGATAACATCGCTTCATCGTCATAGAGATATTAGATTGTCAGTAAAGCTATGAACAGGATCCATGCTAGCACTAAGTAATATTAACACATTCAATAATATCGCTTCATCGTCATAGAGATATTAGATTGTCAGTAAAGCTATGAACAGGATCCATGCTAGCACTAAGTAATATTAACACATTCAGTAATTCAGGTGAGGGTATTGTAAGTCATCATATGTAATAATGTGCGGTAGTATTAGCAACGCGACGTTACAGATTCCTGTCCTCTGGAAGTAGTAGGTTCAAATGATGTCAAAATCAAATAAAACTTTGATGAAAAAAAATCTATAAGAAACAATGACTTTAACTGTTCGTCTCAAATTGATACAGATGTTTAGAAACATAGTTATTGTAACTACTGTAGGAAACAATGTCTTTAAATATTCGTCTCAGATTAGCTAACGTTAATGAAAGAAATGTTTAGAAAATTAGTTATTGTAACTACTGTAAGAAACAATGTCTTTAAATATTCGTCTCAGATTAGCTAACGTTAATGAAAGAAATGTTTAGAAAATTAGTTATTGTAACTACTGTAAGAAACAATGTCTTTAAATATTCGTCTCAGATTAGCTAACGTTAATGAAAGAAATGTTTAGAAACATAGTTATTGTAACTACTGTAAGAAACAATGTCTTTAAATATTCGTCTCAAATTGATACAGATGTTTAGAAACATAGTTATTGTAACTACTAGTAAGAAACAATGTCTTTAAATATTCGTCTCAAATTAGTTAAAGTTAATGATAGAAATGTTTAGAAACATAGTTATTGTAACTACTGTAAGAAACAATGTCTTTAAATATTCGTCTCAAATTAGTTAAAGTTAATGATAGAAATGTTTAGAAACATAGTTATTGTAACTACTGTAAGAAACAATGTCTTTAAATATTCGTCTCAGATTAGCTAACGTTAATGAAAGAAATGTTTAGAAATATACTTATTGTAAATACTTTTACTACAAAACTACTGTTTTTTCTATACAGTGTTTTAAAATCATATACATATATATTTTCTTATTAAAATACCTTCTTTCTATATCTGCAAGAGCGTCTCGTCCTCTCTTAATTCTTAAACACGGTTTTTGGCGGTCAAAACAATCACAGCTGCATCTGCCGTCAGGATATTCCCTTCTATGGAAAGGAACTGGACATTCCGGACACCTGGTGAGAAGAAAATCATTGGTAAAATAAAATAAAAAAGTTCAACATTTACAGTTGTTATTTGGTACAAATTATTTGTTTGTTGTTTTATCGCAAAGCTACACAGTAGCCTATTTGCACTTTGCCCACTGCGAGGAATCGAAACCTGGGTTTTAGTGCTGTAAATCCACAAACTTAACGCTGATCCACTGAGGGACACTTGGTATGATGATCTTTATTTGGAACTAGAACCTAGAAATGTCGGTTCTATAATATAAGGTGACCAGATCAATGGATACAAAAACGGGGCGGTTGGTTACCCTACTTTAAACATTTTTTTCAGTTGGCAGCTGGGTTTTCTAGAATGTGCTTACAAATGCGATTCTTTTATATAGATGAAGTAATTATGCAGATTTTTATTATTAAAGAATTAGCGACTGAGATAGGAAAATATTTGATGAAGTGAGGTACAACAGATAAAATTACTCAATAACACCCTACACTCCGTCTGCTGCAGGGCGTCTTTCTCGTGACGAAACAGCGTCATTCACGTAGCTGAAATTTAAACAGATAACATGCTCGCAACTGTGAAACAGATAACATGCTCGCAACTGTGAAACAGATAACTTACTCGCAACTGTGAAACAGATAACTTACTCGCAACTGTGAAACAGATAACATGCTCGCAACTGTGAAACAGATAACATACTCGCAACTGTGAAACAGGTAACATACTCGCAACTAAAGGGAATAATATAGATGGTTCAGCGGTAAGCTCTAGGGCTCATAACGTTAAGATTCTGGATTCGATCTCTGCAATGGCACAGGTCATTATACAACTATGCGCCTCAAGAACAAACACGTAATACAGATTTAGCAAAACAACAATTAGGGAAAGCACCTCTGGATTCTACATACGCCTTTTCGTCTGTTTCTGTAACTTACATCTGTTATGTTCCTATCTTTGAAATATTTTCTTTCAATCTGTTGAAAGAGGAAGTCCTTTTTTGGTGAAATTCCCTCACAAAAGGAAACATTTATGTTCTTAATATTTTTTTCTTCTTCTCAGATTGAACTTTTAGCGCATACAAGACTGAAGAATAGATGTTGATGTCGGTATCAAATTTTAGGAATTGGGAAAAGTGAATAATTGTTCTGTAATATATTCTTGAAAATAAACACTTTAATATATGATTTTTTTTCTACGATTAACCGTTCAGGAGCTACGGAACGTGACAGACGGATATTTGGTTATTATCACTAAGCGCTGTAGTGTTTAGTATGTTGGGATGAACCGGGAAAAAAACTGGCCGACACATAATACGTCTCAAATCTCTCTTATAACAATCTAAGAGCCTTTTATAAACACCTAACTTAGATTATCTAGGTTTTCAAAAGCTATTAAGACCTTCAATTTAACCATAAAACATTGCTAAACCGGCGGACGGTTAAATGTTCTGCTGTTTAATCTGATTCTGGTGTCAGAAAGGTTAGCTTACCAATGATTTACATACCAAAATGTTGCATTTTAACTCGGGGAGTGCAGAAACAGTATAGCGTTTCACTAATTTCAACGCATGACTTTCGTCAAGACAACTCATCATGGTTGCCTTTGTAACGACTGACATTCACCAATGCCCCTCCCTCCCTCCCTCCCCAATGGCACAGCGGCAAGTCTGCAGACTTACAACGCTCGAAACCGGGTTTCGATACCCGGGTTGGGCAGAATATAGATAGCCCTTTGTGTAGCTTTCTGCTTTACTACAAACAAGCAAACACATTTTTTGTTACTTGTATATATAAATTTATTGCTAGCGTGTATTGCAAGACAAAGAGAAACATTGAATTCTGAGTTACGTACATCTACCGGTCCTTTAGTTAACCAGAATAGTTTATCTGAAACTTGTTTCACTTGTGAGTTACGTACATCTACCGGTTCTTTAGTTAACAAAGGCTAGTTTGACTGTAACTTGTTTCACTTGTGAGTTACGTACATCTACCGGTCCTTTAGTTAACAAAGGCTAGTTTGACTGTAACTTGTTTCACTTGTGAGTTACGTACATCTACTGGTCCTTTGGTTAACAAAGGCTAGTTTGACTGTAACTTGTTTCACTTGTGAGTTACGTACATCTACTGGTCCTTTAGTTAACAAAGGCTAGTTTGACTGTAACTTGTTTCACTTGTGAGTTACGTACATCTACCGGTTCTTTAGTTAACAAAGGCTAGTTTGACTGTAACTCGTTTCACAAAATATGATTTTTTGTCAATGTCTTAACACATCTAATGGATTTAAATTTTTTACTACATGGTTGCTTAAGTAAAATAATTTCACTTCAATAGCTGTTTCCATGACTAATAGTTTCAAATCAACGTGTGGCCACAACTGTTTAAATACATGTGTGAAATATGTAATCCTAGTTGATCCATGTCAACTGGGGGGGGGGGGTATTTTTTGTGCACAAATTAAACGATGACTGGATCTTTTCTGTTTCATGCACCGCGTTCAAATAGAAAGAAATATATATTTTTGAATGTAGTTTTTAATGCTGATTTCAGAAATATAAATTAAAATTAGGAGAAATGATATTTTGACAGGTTAGATCAGTTTATGTGAAGTTAGATCCAGTTAGGCTAATTAGTAAATAATTACATGTTTATTTAAATAAAAAATAAATTTCATTAAAAAATTCTTATTGAAATATTTTACCATTTTAAAAAATCATTACTCCAAATTTTAATTTATATTTCTCAGATCTGCAGCAAATTGAAAGTATTTGGAATGTGGTTAAGAGACATAACAAGCGACATTGTGGAACCAATCGTAACATGACTGACTCATAGGCATGAAAATGATTATCTCTTCAGGCAAATATTTAAGAATATTCACATTGAATTTGTTACATTGACAGTAGATATTTTGTATTGTGTTGATGTCTTGCAATTCTTTTAAATACGTAAGTATATATATATATGTAATGATAAAAGTATTTCCTTTGTTTCGTAAGCAAAATAAAAAACATTTCTTTTAATTTCTCCAAATTTTAATTTATATATTCCTGAAATCAACATTAAAAACTATATTAAAATTTTATATTTCTTTCCATTTGAACGCGGTGCATGAAACAGAAAATATCCCGATTACTTTTACGAATTATATATTTCACTGATGCCTGGATGTTTAAATATTACGACGTTCACAATTAGCTATATAAGGTTCTTAATTGCAAGATGATAATGAAGTGAAAACGCACTCACTATTACGCCTTATTTATTGTAGGTTTAATAAACATTATTAGTGGCTGTTTTATTATTAAAAGGCATCCCTTAGTGGAAATTATGAGACTGTTTCAATAATAATAGGCGTTTTGAGTTTAGTAGTCTATTTTAAAAGCCATTTCATTGTTAAAATTTGCCTCATAACCCTATTTAAACTATTATTTGACAAGAATCTCGAGGGGTGTGTGTCCGCTTATAACTGACCAATTATCACTAAATCTGCCATGTCCACTTAATACCCAAAACATGAAGTGAAATGGGTGGAGGCGGCGTTCAGCCCCTTATGACTTTCACGTGAGTTGAACGGGTATGTCAGTAAGTAGATATTTTATTTGAAGCCGATTGGTTATTAAAAGGTCCCATTAGTAGATATTATTTGAAAATATTGTTTCAGTAAAAGGTACCACTTAATGATGTCTTTTAGAATTTTAGCGAAAAAGCTTTTAAACTGATAAATTATAAGGAAGGCAGCTTATGAACAGCACACGCCGACAACTCTAGGAATACTCTTTTATGACTGAATACTGGAATTTTATCGTCCCTTTTATAGCCCTCTCACATCCCCCAAGAGCGGAGAACAGTGTTTGCGGTAACGGTATGCGAACCATGAACCCTCGGATTCACAGTCCGGACACGGTAACTACTAGATCACGCCGGCCGATCATCTAATAGACAATCAATCCTAGAGACTGTTTCACTCTCTAAAGGCGCCCTCTAGTAGATGTTATTAGAGACTGCTTAAAAGATTTGCCGATAACTATTTTTATATAACACATAGCGTTTCCTTACAAAAGCACGCACTTGAGTATGATAGATATTTTTTTACTTTATAAAACTAACCAAACCAGTTTTGTAATAGAATATAACGTATATTTATTGAAAGAAACAACAAAATAAATATATTGACTTCTCAAAGGTGCAATTTAGAAACGATAGTTCTTTACCTTTATAAAATTATTAATTTTGAAGGTAACAGTGCTATAAGACTTCAATAAATCGAAATATTATTGTTTTAAGGTCCTCGGCTGTCTTCGTAACTGACCACAATAATAGGTACATATAATAACGTTAAGACTATGAGAGGCGTGGCTTGGCCCTGTGGTAGAGCTCTGGATTGCGGAGCTGGCCAGCCGGGAACGAAACTTTAGCACTTTAAAAGCTGTATGTGTGTTATAGGTGTGACAGTAAATCCTTTAGTATGGAAGGTGGGTGGTAGGGTGCTGCTTTTTCATTCTGGTCAACAGTTCAAAATTAAGGAAGGTGATAAATAGCATTAATAGCTTTGCCACAAATACAAAACGATGAGAAATAACATTTGATATATATATATGTTAGAAAAATAACATTTTTTTACTCATGATTATATCACATTTAACAGCTATAAATGTAAAGGAAAGGTATATATGTTTTACTGTCCTAAAATAAATGACAAATCACAGGGATGTTAGTTTTGCTTGAATTATTCGAGTAATTTGATGTTAGCTTTGTAGATTGGTTACGCGATCGTTATTATTTTGAAACGTAGCCCACAACATACAACCGCTGCACGACAATTCTTTTAAGGTGATGCTCAGAAATTTGAACAATAAATTGGTCTAAACATGCTAAAAAGAACGTAAGTTTATATCATATTTACACGTATAAAAACTTGCAAAATTAAAATAGAAATTATAGACATTTTTGATCAGAATATCACACTGGATGCACGGTGCTGACACAGACGGTCGTTTTTGATTAGAGTTTTATACTGGATGCACGGTGCGACACAGACGGTCGTTTTTGATTACAGTATTATACTGGATGCACTATGTGACACAGACGGTCGTTTTTGATTACAATATTATACTGGATGCACTATGTGACACAGACGGTCGTTTTTGATTACAATATTATACTGGATGCACGGTGTGACACAGACGGTCGTTTTTGATTAGAGTATTATACTGGATGAACGGTGTGACACAGACGGTCGTTTTTGATTAGAGTATTATATTGTATGCACTGTGTGACACAGACGGTCGTTTTTGATTAGAGATTATATTGTATGCACTGTGTGACACAGGCGGTCGTTTTTGATTAGAGATTATATTGTATGCACTGTGTGACACAGACGGTCGTTTTTGATTAGAGATTATACTGGATGCACGGTGTGACACAGACAGTCGTTTTTTATTAGTAAGACGATTGTTGATCATTTTGTTTCCTACGGTGCAACGTGGATATAAGAAGTACATTTTCTCGTCTGTTTTTTTCTCTCTCTTTTAGTTTCTTATTTCTCCCTGCTTCTTCTACGCTTTACAAAATTATCGTGTGTCATTGCATCGTGTCACAGTTAATGATAACTATTCTTGGTTTGCAACATTTACTAGAGTCAGAGGAGAAATAAACGCAATAAATCATTTGCCCTCCTTAGCGTGACCTGTTAAAAAACAAAACCAAAACTTACTTTGACCTTTTCTCACTGGGAAGACCTTGATGCTGACTGTTGTTTGTAATTGGTTGAAGCAAATTGTCTCGTATCCTTGGCCGATTATTTATTGGTTGACATTCGCACTGGGTGTGATTAATAAACAGTAATTTTTCCACGGCGTTGTTCCAGCCTGTTCGCATTCCATTATCTTTTAGATGTAGAGTCTAGGAAAGAATACCATAGTATAGTTTGTTATCTTGTACAATAAATTCTGCCTTGAAATATGCTATTTTTTTTCGTTTAGCTCTTCTAAGTTTGCAAAGAGAATTTAATATTCACACAAATACTAACATTCTAATATCTACTTGGGTTATCGCTCGTTTTGTTTTTTAAAGCGGTATTTAGTACAATATCAGTCATTTTTCGTTAGACGTAATGCAGAATTAGGGTGGCCATAGTAACTTAAAAAAATATATATATAGTATTTAAAAATCTACAAAAGAGAGTCGTTTTCTAAAAAAAAATTAAATACCAATAAATTTGTAAATTTTTCTTTCTACATGCATTTTTTTAGAGGTCTCTTTGTTCAGAAATTAAAAGTATCATATTATTATTAAAGACTGTTCGTTTCGTACAGCAATTGGAGTATTGTTTCATGAACTATTTCACAAGTTGTTGCAACACGTATACGTGAATTGTACAATCTGTATTTTGATAACACCAAACGTTGACTACTTTTGAGCTCGTTTTTCATCGTTCTATAAATACAAACTTATCTTACTTATAACGTTAGTTTCCGTTGTTTTGAAGACTTATTACAACATTAACAAACTGTAGGTGAAATGATTATATGAAAAGATTATTTCTGTCTAAAATTGGTTGTAATAATTGACATTAAAAAGTAGCGAGGGATAGATTTGTTTAGGACAGACAGACTGGGCACGATGTACGTTGAAATTATTCATTTGCTTCAAGAGAGTTTTCAGAAAATTCTAAAAATGTTTTCAAAATAAATCTAATATCTAATTTTCTGTTGATGATGATCAGTTTAAAACGATATAAATCAGTAACAACACTTTCAACGTGTATATATATGTATACGCTACTAGATGTAAGTGTAAATACGTCTTGCATATCTCATGATGAGAAGAAAAAGCTAGCACTTCATGAACATTTAGAACCTTCATTAAATTAATATCCATTCGCTGAAGAATATTGTAAAGACTTAAATAGGACGTGGTAGAGGAAATTAATTCATCAATTATAGACGACCAAGCATACAGTGCTATAACTGGGTTTTTCACTCAGGGGGGTGGGCAATAAATTAAAAAACTGAACATTATTTAAATTTTTAATAAAATGGTCATTAAAACAAATCAAATGAAATGTAATAGTGTTTAAAGAAGTTTTATTTATTTTTATTAAATGACACAAAACGAGTTTATTATATATAAAAACTGAAAAATAATATGTGATTAATATGCCTAGATTTTTTTTTCAGGGGGCCCGCCCTCCATGGCTACGCCCCTATAGGCATAATACAAACACTTGTGAGCCAAAGCACGTGTTTCTATCAAGAAAGAGAATAACACCTGTCAACCCACACTGTTAATGGCTTACTATCCTATCGTATGTGTAAAGGGATTGCTACTTTTTGTCATATATTTTTTATAAGATATGATATTGAAATGGCCTTCTACTTGTATCTTCTGTTTGAGGCTTTTCTCAGCAGTATTGTTTAATGAGCCACAGTCCATTCCTTTTCACGAAGTATCTATCATCAGTAAATATTTTGGTAAGACAGTAGAAGAAGAAAGGAGTATAAAATAAATTTATGAGGTGACTGTGAACTCGGTTTTTATAACAGTCAAGGAGAAACTAAAACAAAAAATAACGTAGCAAACAATATCAAAATCTTAGAAAATATTCCCAAAATTGGGCGTTTATTACATATTACAAGTTGCAAGTACACTCATGCTAAGAAATGAGAATTGCCGATTTTTAAAACTGATCCTAAAAGAAAAAAAGTAGATTAATATTTATATTTTATACCACCCAGATGGGTCGTAATAACTCTAAATACAGAGGGCGGTTTGATAATGAAATATGAGGGGTGTAACTGTAAAACAAGTGTGCATCATGTAGTACTAAGCATTATCAAAACAAAGGCGAAAAAAAAAAGAGAAGAAAAGATATAATATGTATGATAATTTGATATATATGTCATCTGTATTTATGTATATACCTGAAAACAGCGCCCGTTACGTTCACTATCTCCAAGCAGGCTTAACATTGTTCCCATGTTAGACTGTAAACATTTGACAAGCACGTGTCTGACTTTTCAATGCATATATTGACTATCTATAAGAAGCTTCGAGGTAGACATCATAGTATACCAATTAAACAGACATTTTCTTTGGAAGTATAACAACCCAAAGCACAAATATAAATGAGTTTTAGAAATCAACATCGAACTTCGTACGAAGATGAATGAGAAGAAAAGTGGCAAACTCTTTTGATGGAGTTAGTCAATCTAGTCAGTTCCATGTTTTGTACATGTTCAATTTGGGCGATAGAAACTGATCTCAGTAGGTTGACTAACAACTTTTCGGATAAGTTTGATCTTGACTATTTGATTTTCTTGTTTGTTTGTAATTAAGCAACAAAGCTACAGAATAGGCTATCTGTGCTGTGCCAACCATGGGTATCAAAATCCTGTTTCTTGCGTTATAAGTCTTCAGACTTACCGCTTAGTCACTGGTGGCATTTGATGTATATGCGTATGCTACGTTTTTTGTTTCATATATAGGTAAGCCTCGCTTCAAACTTGGAAGTATTAACGTACCAAAGAGTCGAGTTAAATCTATAAACTATAAGCAAAAGAAAAAAATTCAAAAGACTAAGTTAAAAATAATAAATTCCACTTTGTCTTTCTCTCCAACTTAACGCTTATCAACATTTAATAAGACGCTTATGAAAATGCGTTTCATGCTATCAACTTATTCTCCCTTTAACCATAACCTTGGCAAATATATAACCTGGATTATTTCAGCGTACAATAACTCAGATAACATCATCAAAAACACTTTAACAAAATTGGATCCAAAACACAAAATAATAAGTTCTGATGTGCAGAATCCATATATTCAAATTTCAGGCAAAAATAAAAATAAAAAATAAAACTTTATTAACTCCCTTGAGGTTTAAGATCTATTGATAATGATCTATTGCCATGGCAATTCGTTTAATTAGTTCACATTCCACATTCCTTCTACCCTGTAAAAAAAGAATTTGTCATATATATTTATTAGATCACATCTAATTACCTTACATGTTTATCATACACACCTGCGATGTGTGTAGCCTTCTAGATCAGTCAACGTGGCCTTGTTTACGTTTCTTTTCTGTTTTACTCCTCAGAGCAAGGCTGTAAGCACTACGGGGGGGGGAGTTATTAAACAGATATAATGCTTGAGATTCTTGGGATAGAATTCAGTTTATTTCTATGTGAGCTGATGTTTAGACCATATTGAGAATTAAAGGGTTAGTGTAAATCATTCTAAAACATTAATTAACATAATATATGATAAATAGTATAATTAACTACGTTCAGCTTCTTATTTACAGATTGTTTAGGTGAATTATTTTTCTCTTTTTTTGCGTTTCGGAAAATGATTCAGGAATAACTGCTCTTTGAATATCCTTTTATTTCTTATTGAACATTCACAGTGACGTGCAGAGGACATTAAAATGGCAGGGCTCATTGACAAAAAAGGGCACTTTTTGAGCATCACAATGCAGGCCATTTCTTTTTTTCTGGGGGGCGGGAACTGGAGTTGTTAGGGGAAACCATGGAGACTGTGGGGTGCATCTGGTACACACTGAGTAATCAGGCATGTCTTTAGTAGTTATGTAAATTTTTTATGACTGAGAGAAAGGACACTTTTGGGTCATAAGAGCAGAAAAACAGGGGTTTGAGCCCACCCAGCCACTCCACTATGCACGTCACTGAACATTCAGCTAGATAAAAGCTACATTGTTTAAAACGTCCCACATTATTTTCTTAGTATAAAAGAAATGTATTGATAATGTGTTTCATTAGTTGAACTACTGGTCACTATTAGTTAATTCGGTGTAAGAAACTGAACGCATTTAAAAGAATATTTACCCAAACAACTGTCAAATGTTTTACTGGAACCCTAGAAAGGTATGCGATTATACGTTCAGAAGTGATAAAGAACAAATACTTTAAACAGAAAAATCAAATTTAACTAACCCAGTGTAGCTACAACACAGTATGTTGAAAAAGTAACCAAAACTTACATAAAAGTACAAAGTGACCTCCTCTATCTGTAGGGGGCCACATTTGTGAAGTCCATCTTCACAACAACCTGTTTCGTCTGAGCAACGATGTAGAATAGTACAGTGTGGAACGTAGTACTTGGAGATATCCGGAAAATAATCTTTCACTCGTACTACCTGCGGATGTGGAGTCTTGCATTCTGCCCTGCTTCTGATCTCCAGAAAATGGTCATTTGCTCGACGGACATCTTCAAGCTCTTGAGTGTAAAGAAGAATACGGGCTGTTATATTTTACTTTTATTTCAAGTGCAATAACTTTGACAAAATTGGTGAATTACAACTATGTGTTTCCTCAGACTCAAAACCTTTTAAACATAGCTATGAAATACTTAAAAAAAACTATCGCTGTTTGAACAGAAATCTAGAACTAGAAAATGTCCCAAGTTATCAACTCTCTAAAAATGAAATATCCCAAGTCATCATTATAATATCATCAAAAACAACAACAACTTAATATCAGTTTGCCACCCAGAAGAGGCGCAGCCATAACCTGCGGGCTCATAACGCTAGAAACTGGATTTTTATACCAGTGGTGGGCACAGCACAGATAGCCCATTGTGTAGCTTGATGCTTAACTACAAACAAATAAACAAACAATATCAATCAACGGATGTTGTGTGGCAACAGAATATGATAAAAGTAATTTTAGTAACTCCGAATAGAATAGATCATAAGGTCCATTGGTGAGATATAAGTTGTTATACACTTTGACCAACGGCATAAATAGATGAATATACGTACGTGACAATGATGATACAGTGTTGTCAATGTTTATGCTTATTTCGAAGATTTAAAATGTCTGTTTTTTATACGTAACTATTTGACGACACTGAGTGGCTTCTGAATCACGTCTAGCTGTGGATCTAGTTACTAATTGGTCAAACCAACTGCCATCTGTACACAATGTTAAACAGCGATGGTACATCAATATACAGTTGTGGTGGAGTCATCGTCGATATGTATATACCAGTGATAATTTCTGTGACCTAAATAAACAAGTGGGTAAGTCACCTTTGATGTAGTATATACAGTGTTGATAAAGTCAGCATTGATTTGTTATATATATATATATAAAGAAGAAATCTAGATACAATTACTACACCGTATACTTTAGTGAATAATTTCTAAATTTCTGAGCACAAAACGACGGTTCACTAACCTTTAGTGTGTCGTATATAGAATCACATGTGCCCAATTCCCAGTTGTTCTAAATCACTATATATGACCTGTACGAAGTTGTGGTCAGGTCAGTCATTATGCTTAAAATAAACTACGTTTGAATCACTAAATGTAAAACATTTCAATCCCCTGCTATTTTGTACTTTTCTAATATAAAGTCATTTTTAGCTGTCCATAGAAATCCTAGCAGTGGTCACTGGCATGAGTACAGGTACACTAATAATAACTGTTGATCGAATGTTGTCAGTGTATGTTTCTCTCTCTCTATTCACATAGTAGTTAACAAATGACATTTTACGTATACTGTATATACGTTATGTAGGTTAACACTTCAGCTAACTTATATATATATATATATATATGAGTGGTTAAGTCATCATAAGTGTTCTATAAACAGTAGGTGTTAAGTCCCTTTTGATCCTTTGTATAAAACGCAGTGATTACGTCTTTCATGATTCTCATATTATGGTGGTAGGTTCTATGAGTAGGTCTGTATAATCTACAGAGCAAAGGACATAATCTTAAATATACTAATACTATTGCGTTTTTAATTTATTGAGTGGTAAATGGGTTTATTACACATACACACACATATATAAACCACTCAACAAGAATGGGTTTATTACACATACACACACATATATAAATCACTCAACAAGAATGGGTTTATTACACACACACACATTTATAAATCACTCAACAAGAATGGGTTTATTACACACACACACATATAAATCACTCAACAAGAATGGGTTTATTACACACACACACATATAAATCACTCAACAAGAATGGGTTTATTACACACACACACATATAAATAACTCAACAAGAATGGGTTTATTACACACACACACATATAA